ATGAACAAATAAATAAAAGCTTCTCTGTGGTTCCATCTTGGATGAATGATTTCATTAAAGCATAAATGGTGACAAAATGAGTTTCACCTTGCAATAAATGAGCTCATCATCGACTTCCAGGAATATTCCTGCCTTGGCTTCACACCATAAGTTGTTCATATTTGTGCATGTTTGTGTGAGTAAACTTTCACACACACACACATATGCACACACACGGTTATACATGGGTATCGTGGACATGCACCAGCTCTAGCTGAATGCACACAGCGATGGAAATCATGGTTCCCATGTTGAGGAATTCCTTCTACAATACACGTTAAGAAAATCTCAGGAATTCAACCCACTTCCCGCATGCATTTTTCTGGCCCTGTTTATCACCTCAGAGCTCCTGGTGTGAAGCTTAGCCTCAGTGTAGCTGTCCACCCGCCATTCTCCAACAGCCCATTTTTGTGACTTTTGCTGTCTAATTGGGGGGGGAGGGAGGGTAAAAATCTACAAGTTGCATTTCAGGGACAGTGAATCTCAAATGCCAAATATTTCATCAGCTGAAAGGCTTATCATGTTTGGAGCAGAAAATACACTTTCCTGTTTCAAATCTGTGTCTTCACACAATCATCTGGCTTCTTCTATTGGCTTATCCAGGATATGCATTTAAAGTTAAGTGTTTCTGATTTATGTCACTCAGACTCATGGTCTCAAGAGGCATTCATTTTCCTATGATTGACTCAAGTTTATCCTTCTTCGTGGCAGAGTAGTATTCCACTGTGCGTAAACACCACTTTTTCTTTATCCATTCATCTGTTGATGGGCATATAGGCTACTTCTAAAATTTAGCTATTATGACTTGTGCTGCTATAAACATGGGCATGTATGGATTGCATCAATATGATGTCTTTAACTCTTTTGGGAAGATACCTGGAAGGGGAGTATCTGGGGCAAGCAGAATTTCTATTTATATATATTTATATATTTATATATATTTCATTAAGTTTATTGATACATTTTTGGTATACAATATGATGACATTCATCATTGGGAATTTGTACCTTTACTTGATGTATCTTGCTTCTTATTTTTCTTCCCCATTCCCCTACCCTCCCTTCACCCCGTCCACCCTTCCCTATTTACAAAGACTTTGTTTCCGTTTTTTCTTTTTCTCTTATTTTTTCCTTTCCCTTCTTTCCTTTCCCCTACCCCCTACTTCCCCTTCCCCTTTGCCCCTTTTCTTCCTATTTCACATTATCTATTATACATTTTGATTCTTATTTACACTTTCAGTTTCTCACACCAGAGAAACTATTCAGTATTGACACGTGTGTGTCCTATTTATTTCACTTAAGACTATGGCCTCAATGTGCATCCACTTAGCTATAAATGTCTCTAGTTTCTCATTCTTTATGGCTGAGTAGTACTCCATTTTACTAAACACACACACACACACACACACACACACACACACACACCTTCTTTATCCAGTCTCCAGTTGATGGAAAATCGGGCTGGTTTTGCTTTCTTGATGCTGGCCATTCTTTCTGCTGTGAGTTGGAATACCCTTGATTTCACATGGATACATCCAGCTTCTGGGGGGTACAGAGTTGGCAACAGCTTAGCAGGCAAACCCATTTGTGACAATTATGTGTCTTCGGAAAATAAGTGATTCTTTCCTCTAACCCAAACTTCCCACCCTGTTAGTCAACCTCCCAGCATTTTAAGTCTGATTCACATCGAGCGCCGTGCTGTGTGGCTCAGAATCTGAGAGAAGCTAACAATTGCAAAGAAAATAAAATTGTTCTCTGTCCTCCAGTACCTGAGATGGGAGCTCTGCCTGGTAGATGGTTTAAATTTTTAAAAAGTGAAGAAAGAGAGAAAGCTGGAGTGAGGCTCAATGGAAGAAGAGCATTGGCCTCGCTCTTTCACACAGCCTTGGGTCTGAACCCCAGCGCTGCCAACGAAAGCAAAGGGGAAAAAAGAAAATCTTTGAATAGCTCAGTTCATGAAGATTCCACAGCAGAAACTATGGAGACATCATTGTCCCACAACATCACATTCACGGGTTTTTGTTGTGTTTTGTTTTCTTTTTGTTTTTTTTCCAAATTCAAAGACACAAGCCCTGGGTTCTACAGCCAACGTGTGAGATCTTTGGAAGGAATTCAACATCACGATTACCCATCCGACAGGCACCAGTGAGAACTCAGATTTCCCAAAGTAGGGATGCTCATTAACCTGCAGCTTAAAGGTTGGAGCCATTGCATATTACTAGGGGCTGGAGAGGACTCTGATATAATAGAGACTTGGATCACAGAGATCCCTCTATTTTGCAGAACCCCAATTAGCAACTAGATCTTTCATCCAAGAGCTCAGAGAAGGAAAGAGGAGAAAGAAGAAACAGTGTGTTCAACACAGATTCGTTTTGGCAGAAAGCTACAGGACCCTTTGGGATAAATCCCCTCTTTCTTCTATGGGCAGAGACAGCAGTGCCTTGGGGAAACTGCAGGGCACTGACACTGGGGTGCCCAACCACATTCATACTTAGCACAAAGCAGGTTCTTCCCCCCTCCAAATCAGGACTCATGTTCTGAGCACAGAAGCAGAAGGCAGAGTGATGAGTGCAGTTGTTGGTGCAGAATCTTTTTGGCATGAATCAGTAATTGGTGATTGCTAAGTGAATAAGCGCTCGTCAACAATGCAGCATTCTGCGGCTTCCCTATAGGAAGTGAGGGTGGACAGTCCAGCATCGACTGGAAATTTTATTGCATTTTTTCACACAAAAAGCCATCCTGGGGCTTTCTTCTGAGCCATCCCATTCATTTGTGGATGTCTTGGGTTGGTGGAGACCAAGAAATGCTTGCAAGGGAAACAGGTTGGCTTCCTCAGCCCTCAGGGCCATCCTTAACTGACTTGGTTTTAGATTTTGGAAGCCAGTGCCCTGTAGCTTCCCAAAATTCATCTGGTATGCGTGGCAATAGGGTTCCAAAGAGATCGTTTGGATTTATGCTACATAGGAGCCCAAAGTGGGTTTATCTTCAGATAAGTTTGCCTAGGAGTGGATCATGACTTAAACTATTCTTTTGTTGGGGTCCAAGGGATTGAATCCGGGGCCTTTACCCTAAACTCCATCCTAGCCCTTTTTCGATTTTTTATTTTGAGGCAGGGTCTTGCTTTGTTCCTGTTTCCCAGTTTGGGCAAGAACTTGCAATCCTCCTGGCTCAGCCTCCCAGAGTGCTGGGAGCACAGATGTGGCCACCCTGCTCAGCGACTGAGGAAATGTCTCTTTGGTGGAAAACAGGGGACTTGGGGGAAAATGTAATCATGCAGAAAGGAGAAAAAACATAGTTGTTTTGGAGACGCTCAAGTATGTGAAAATGTTAAAACATTTCAGGCTCTTTTATTTCCCTTCCTTAGTTTCTTTTTTATTTTCCTCAACCTCTCCCACTACCCTTCCCCCTCCCCTTTGCCCCTTTTCTTCCTATTTCACATTACCTATTATACATTTTGATCCTCATTTACACTTTCAGTGTCTCACCCCAGAGAAACTCTTCAGTATTGACACACGCGTGTCCTATTTATTTCCCTTAAGAGTATCGCCTCAATGTGCATCCACTTAGCTATAAATGTCTCTAATTTCTCATTGTTTATGGCTGTTATTTCTTCTCCCTCCCTCTCTTCTTCCTGTATTTCTTCCTCCATTCTTCTCTTCCTTCTGTTCCTTCTTTCCCTCCTCCTTCTCTTCCTTCCTTCTTGGCTTTTCCAGTACAGACTTTCACCTAATGTTGGATCCAGTTCATGCCAAGGACTGACCTTGCAGAATGCTTTGGAAACACATGTGCCATTTGGGGTCTGACTAGGAGACCCCCTTTCTTCCCGCAGGATGACTTCATGACATCACAGGGCCATTGCTTTTCCAGGTCCAAGTATTTTCACAGTATGGAGGGAACTGGGAAGTGGAGAGAATGGCTCGATCCCTTTGCCCTGGTAAATGCCAACATGGGCTTGTTTGCAGTTTGTAAGGGAGAATTCACACCATAGGGAAACCAAGATACTCAGCTTAGAGAACACTCCTTGCTTGGCCAGCTCACAGTGTTCGACAGAAGATTAGGGTGTTGTGTTGGCTTCCGGGTGAGATTATAAAATTGGAACTTGGGTATGAAACTCTAATATTTTTCTCTATTGAAAACACAGAAGGCTGGAGCCCTTGCCTAGTATGTTCCAGGCCTTGGATTCCATCGCCTGCTCTAGAAAAAGGAGAAAGGGATTGGAGGGCGAGAGGTGTGGAAATTTAACTGAGGATGGGGTTTCAAGATGCCTACAATTTGCTTTGAAACAAAAGCAATGAAAGGAGTTATTTTCAAATCTTAGCTATTCGATGGAAAAAATTTGGCCTACATATTTTCATATGCATCCACAAACTTTTCCAGAATTCCTCACCCACACACAAATACATTTTTTTCCTTGAATTTTTTTCCCCGTGGAAGACTGTTCCATTTTGCTTTTTTCCAAAGAAAATGAAACTGTGCACAAGAATGATAGCTTGGATCCTGTCTTTTTAATTTGAGGTCCTAGGGATGGAACCCACAGCCGTCATGCATGCTAGGCAATTTATAAAATATTTCTACTATTGTGCTATAAATATTTCAGACCACTTTTGTCCTCTGTGTTAGCCACATGCATAGCCACAGTGGAAACATTTTATTATAATTCCAGAAGAAATGATCACCAGCATCTATATATAACATAACTCCCTCTGCTCTGAAGAATTTATCTGCGGTGCTGTTTCTATTTATGGGGTGGGAGGACAGAGAGGGAATGAACAGGTAAGAAAGACTTAAGATGTCTTTACAAAAAGCAGAGATGGTCAACTAGCTCATCCCAGGTTTTGATTTTGCTTGTTTTCGTCTGCAGTGCTGGGCTGGAGCCAAGTCCTCATGCATGATAGGCCAGTGCTCTATCACTGAGCTACACCTTCAACCCCGTGTCCTTTTCATGTATTTATTGTTTTGCAGGGTTTTTGAGCACCGGGGACCAGGCAGCGAAAGGTAACTATGGACTCTTGGACCAGATCCAAGCCTTGCGGTGGATCGAGGAGAATGTGGGAGCCTTTGGTGGTGACCCCAAAAGAGTGACCATCTTCGGGTCAGGGGCCGGAGCCTCCTGCGTCAGCCTGCTGACATTATCGCACTATTCGGAAGGTAACCAAGCTACCCCGGGGTGGGCAGCAGCTGGGGCTGAGACTCAGAAAGAATCCTGCACTGAGCTCCTACTACCTTCGCCCCGGGGTGCAGGGCGGGGTTGGGAGCCCTCTCCCCGGAAAGCTCAACAGAAAGTCTTGTCCACTGCACTCCTTCCACTGTGTCTGCTTCTCCTACCTCACTTTTCCTGGCTGTTTTACTGGGGATGGAACCCAGGGCCTCTGGCTGGGTAGCCAAACACTCAACCACCAAACTGCATCCCAGGTCTTCAACTCACCGTTTTTATTTCTTTGAGGTATTGAGAATATTGCACCCAGAGCCTTCACACTGAGCCCTTTCTTTAAATTTTTGGGCAGGGTCTCTCTAAGTTGCCCGGGCTGCGCTGGAACTTGAGATCCTCCTGCCTCAGCCTCCCAGAGAGCTGGGACTGCAGGCGTGCGCCAACACCCCAGGCTGTAACTCCATTTTAACAAATTAGTTTTTTCCCCTAATTTGAATTTAGGACAATAAGGTGTTGGGTATAATGACAGAAACAGAGAGACTTCTTTAGAAATCCATATATGAAAGTTTCTTTTTGCCATTCAGACGTCATCTGGTGCACCTTAAACTTTGTTAGCTTTTAGGATAAATGTGAAGGAAATGCAGTTCTCTCTTGGAATCCACTGGAAAGCGATTCCAAAGCATCCTACGATACGAAGCTCCTCAGGCCTTCAAATTCCTGTACAAGATGGTGCACAATATGCACTGAGCCTTTGCACACGATGTCTTTAGCTTCAAGTCCTCTCTGGGTGATTTTCGGGACTGAACACGCTGCCCGTGCCATTGAGGCAAACATCACACTGTATGCTTCAAAGACCAAAGACTTGAACAGTCTCCCCACACTCAGTACAGACCTGAGTTCTCCCCAGCGTTTCTCATCAGGGCACGAATAAGTCAGTGAGCCCACAACCCACACAGATAGGAACAAGAAAGAAGAGCACTGTGTGGATGAAGGAAGCAGTTCTACACATTCCATGGGCAGCTTTAGTCCTGGGTTTTAAAAAGTCATTTCTCTATTTTAGGCCAATTCTGTGCATCTTCTGAAAAGAATACATTTTAATTTTTACTCTCATTAGTCCATGTTTGCACCCCATGATCATGAATCTCTCATGGCACGTGTATATAACACTTCTTAATTTTTTGGCAACCCCCCACTTTGTGGTGTCTCCTCCCTCTGTCCCTCGTACATGGTCTCTTTCCAATTTGCAAAACATCTGTCTCCCCGTTTTCTATTTTCTACTTTTTATTTTCCTCTTCAGTTTATTCATACTTCGGGTCTCTTGTATAAGAGAAAGCACTGGACATTTAAGTTTGTGCATCTCATTTATTTCACTTAACATTATAGTCTGCAGGTGTATCCATCTGCTTATAAAGAACTCAAGCCCATCCTTCTTTATGGCTGAGTAATATTCTGTTGTGTGTAAATATCACATTTTCTTATTAAGACTGTATCTGTTGCATACATGTACATTATTTTAGGTATGGAACAATAGATTCTCTCTCTCTCTCTCCTTGTATTTTTTTCTCTCTCTCTTCCTCTCGGTAAACAGAAAACTAAGGGGCTTGCTAAATGAAGTCAGAATTGGGAGGTTGGAAATATTCCGTTTGATTTCTCAGACTCTCGTAGAAACTCCAGAAAGTGCCCATAGTATAGAATAAGGAGAGGAAGGAGCAAAAACAAATGCATTTAAGAACTCACGGAGAATTACTCCGGGAGCTAGTCTGCAGCTGGTCCACCCTTCCTGGCCTCTTCCTGAGCTCTTCCTTCCAGTCTAGCTGGAGACCAGGTAGCCCTGTCCCCGTGGCACGGCAGGCTGAAGGCTGTCGGATGAGAGACTCCAAAGAGAAGTCACGAGAAGTGAAAATGAGCCTTTTTCTAGGCAGGGGTGAACTTCTCTCTGGCCTCTAAGAAGTAGGAAAACCCGCAGAGGACGGCCGCCCTTGATTGAGGCTGCTGTGTGCAAATAACGCTCACACGAGTGACCTCGTTGTCAGACGTGACGCATTTTGTTCTGTGTTATCCCCGGCTTAGGACTGCAGCAAGTGAGTTTTCACTGCTTGCATCAAAATTCTCTGAGGCTTGAACCTTTACAAGAACTGTTTTTATTACCATGTAGTATCCTTCTTGACAGTAGCTGCGACATCCATAGGTGCAATTTTTGTTGCTTTTTTTATTCCACACTGGAGAATAAACCCAGGGGCTCTGTACGACTGGAAAGCTACATCCCCAGACTTTTGATTTCATTCTTTGAGAAGGGGACTCATTAAGTTCCCGCCACTGGCTTTGGGATCCTCCTGCTTCAGGCTACTGAGTAGCTGGGATTCGGGGCAGGCATCACCAGTTTAACAGTAGACACAATTATGTTCTGTGCTACTTCATCAGTCTTCTCCTGGCTCTCTGTAGCATTGTGGACTACTTTCTGGAGTTTCGTGTCCCTGGATTTATCTTTTAACAAGATGCCATCGATGATTTCTTTTTTTATTTCTCTGAAATCTGAACTTCTTGATTCTTTATTTTGTCACGCCTAATGAGCAGTAGACTGAAAATTTATCTGGGGTATTTTGAGGGGAAAGGGAAGTGAAAAGCATGAATATTTGCTATGTTGTGCATCCATTCCCCCAGAGAATCAAATAGACAGCATATCACAGATGTATAGCAATTAGAAACAAAAACCAGGGCCGGTGATTTAGCTCAGTGGCTTCGCTGCCTGCTGCGCAAGCACAAGGCCCTGAGTTTGATTCCCAGCACCAAAACAATTGAAATAAAATAAAGATAAAACAGAAAGCCTGAAGATCCAATGGATGCACCATTTCTCATCTAGATTCCAATCACGTTTTAAACATTGTTGAGACCCCGCCTCTGCTCTGCAGCCATAATCACAGTTCTCTTTGTGAAAATGAACCCAGAGCAGCTTCGGCTATAATCAAACATGGGGAAGCCAAATTAATTGGAGGAATAAGATGATAATTATTGGAATCCACAGGTTAGAGATGATTATGGAGCGGGAAAGTCTTTGCATTCCAAATTTCTCCGAGGAGCCTACGGAAGAATCGAAATGATCCTCCTGATAATTACAATAGTAGCGAAACACGGCCAGGTTTCTCATCTTCGAAATTCCCTTTGTACGTATGTAGTCTCATGACACCGAAGCAAACACGGATAACGTATATTTTGCGAAGACGTCCATCCAACTATTACTATCCGGGCCAAAGAATAAAAGGGAAAGCTGAAAGCCTGCCCAGGGAGAAGTTATACGGCACCGTGGGGATTTAGTCAAGGATGCAGTAATTCGGGAATTGCTCCCAGAAGATGCAAGAGTTTGAAAAACACTTCAGAAAGTAGTGAGTAGATTGAGCAAAACTGGGCACAACAGAACTATCAGAAGCAAAAAAAGAAAAAAGAAAAAAAGGGAGTTACAAAAAGTATTACACTAATTTCTAGCATACTGATTATGCTAAGATAATTTCCATTTTAAAGTGTGAATTATGAAGGAGTTGTTTCTCTTCATCCCGTTTTTGGAGTCAATCAACCATTCTAGTATATTATTTCTGTAACAGGATCTATCTGTCTATCCAAACATCCTGCTGTCTGTCATCTCTCTGGTATCTATTGCTCCCAAATTTCTTCACGTGGTTGTGAGCAGAAAAAAGAAGAAATACCTTCTTTTTGCCTCACGACACCTTTCTAATCCTGGTTGTTTTACCTTACGGTTGTTTCAGGGCAAATGTCCACAGGGTTTCTTTTAGGTGTTTCCAAAGATCAGTCTTCGTAGCCAGACACTTTAGGGTGTGCAGGCCGCTGAAGGAAATGACTCTAATATGCGCTTTAATGCCATACGGGGCCAGGCCCAGATAGATTCAACATCTCCACCTTATGTGTCCCATTTGGGCAATCTTCCAGACTTTAAAATCACATCTTCCTGATTGCAATCATATTTGGCACATGCCTGATTGCTTCCAGGACATTTCCAGCCAACAGGGTGTGAATTTCTGAGCTCAGGGCTGAATGCTCTATTCTTTAGGGCTAGCAGCATGTGGGAAATCAGGCAAAGCCGGGAAACTACTCTCTTATCCTGCCCTGGTTACAAGGAGGTTTTAACCTTTATCACATACACGCCACACCCGATCTCACAGAAAATTTTAAGATAATACAGTTTTACTCCTCAATGTTCCCAGTATTCTTCCAGTTTCTCACTCAGTGCAGGCACCAAGAAAGAGATCAGAATAAAATATACAAAATTCCCTATTGAAAATAAGTGCAATTTTGAAATAAATGATGTGTGTGTGTATGTTTGAATACTCATGTAAGATTTCCTTAAGCTGAGCTACTTATTGTGAATACATAATGGAGTAGTTAATAAAGGAATGAGCTTATTTTGATTGGAAAAGCAACAGCCCTGAATTCTCAATCTAACATTGATGCTGTTGGATTTCTCTTTCCTATCATGGAGTTGTACATGGTTTTGTGCCCGCTTTTGCTATGAAACCCTGGAGAACTTTTAACTTCATCCTCATACAACACATGTTATTAGAGAATGGGGGGGGTGGCTCCACTGGTGCTGAGAATTTTTTTTTTTTTTTCGGTACTGGGGATAGAACTCGGGACCTTGTGCTTGCGCGGCAGGTGGCAGCACCACTGAGCTAAATCGCTGGCTCAAGAATTTTTTGGATGCTCTATGGAGTCAAAATCCACACAAAATTGTGGAAACATTCAGCAATTGCACTTGTTTTCATTGCTGCAGAAAAAGGGAATGGATCTTTGTTTTAAAACTCTTGTAGGTGTGCATGCATTCATGCACACTGTGTATTTCTCTCTCTCTCTTTCTCTCTCTCTTTCTCTCTCTCTCTCTCATAATATCTAGTAAAATGAACTTCCAGGGAGAGAATTTTTATGCATGGAATGTGGACTCAAAACCTACACAGAATGTTGAAGTGAGAAATGAATTGCATGTTTTAATTCTGTCTGTTGCGGTTGTTTTGTTTTACTGCTGCAAGAAAAATGCCAGCGCACTTATTTTTTAAACTCTGATGGGTGTGTATATTCATATATATGTATATACATATATGTGTGTGTGTATTTGTATGTGCATGAGCGTGTAGATTAACATCCCATGAAATGAGTGTCCAGCACGAGAGGGAAGAGGGAAACGAAAAGGGTCCAAGCAGCCCAGATAAAGCTGAATGCTTCTCCACACAGAAACTCCCAACAATCGGAGCCTTCTTTGCTCCCTGAAAAGCTACTTTTCTGCCGCCCCCCGCCCACTGGTTTTCATTTGCATGTTCACAATTTTGCACCTGCAGGTCTCTTCCAGAAGGCCATCATCCAGAGCGGTACGGCCCTGTCCAGCTGGGCAGTGAACTACCAGCCTGCCAAATACACTCGGATGTTGGCAGATAAAGTGGGCTGCAACATGCTAGACACCACGGACATGGTGGAATGCCTGCGGAACAAGAACTACAAAGAGCTCATTCAGCAAACCATCACCCCCGCCACCTACCACATCGCCTTTGGGCCCGTGATCGACGGGGACGTCATCCCCGATGACCCCCAGATCCTCATGGAGCAGGGCGAGTTTCTTAACTACGACATCATGCTGGGGGTCAACCAAGGAGAAGGGCTGAAGTTCGTGGACGGCATGGTGGACAACGAGGACGGCGTGACCCCCAACGACTTCGACTTCTCCGTGTCCAACTTCGTGGACAACCTCTACGGCTACCCCGAGGGCAAAGACACCTTGAGGGAGACCATCAAGTTCATGTACACAGACTGGGCAGACAAGGAGAACCCAGAGACACGCCGGAAGACCCTGGTGGCCCTCTTCACCGACCATCAGTGGGTGGCCCCCGCCGTGGCCACGGCCGACCTCCACGCCCAGTACGGCTCGCCCACCTATTTCTACGCCTTCTACCACCACTGTCAGAGCGAAATGAAGCCGAGTTGGGCAGACTCCGCCCACGGGGACGAGGTCCCCTACGTCTTTGGCATCCCTATGATTGGTCCCACGGAGCTCTTCAGCTGTAACTTCTCCAAGAATGACGTGATGTTGAGCGCCGTGGTCATGACCTACTGGACCAACTTTGCCAAGACTGGGTATGTTCTCATTTGCATCTCCACCTTGTCTTCCTGCTCATTACCTTGGTGGTGTCTCTGCTGTAGGTCCGTGCGATTAGCTCCGATTCACGGGTTGCACACACATGGCAGTAATCACTCATTTTTTGTTGTTGTTGTTCATTAAGTTGGTACATTTGAGGTATACAATACAGTTCCATTCATCATTGGGAATTTGTACCTGTACGTGATGTATCTTGCTTCTTATTTTTCCCCCTTCCCCTGCCCTCCCTTCACCACCTCCACCCCTCCCTATTTACAAAGACTTTGTTTCCATGTTTTCCCTTTCTCATAAGTAATCACTCATTTTTAAAAAATACCAACATCTATGGGAACCCATTTTTTGTAGTACTGGGGATTGAACCCAGGGCCGCATATGAGCCAAACGTGTGCTCTACCACTCAGCTGTATTCTCAACCTGGAACCTCTCCCTTTTTTTTCTTTGTTTACTCCTAAATACTTTTTTGTCACAAGATTTTTAAATTTGAGCGCTAGTAGCCAGTTGAAAATTCTGCAGATTCCTCTGCCTGGTGCAAGGCTGACATATATATTGTACCACTCCCTTTAAAGTTGACCGTAGAGTTTCCAGCCTAATTAGGACCCTGTTTTATTGGCTAAACAATGGGATTACTGAGGCATGAGTACCACTTTGGAAACTGAACTCAGCACACACCCGTAACAATAAGCAAATCTCATAATACTTATACAAAAATACTGTTATGTGTATTTATCCACACATTCATGGATAGATTACATCCATATCTTAATATATACTTGATATGTATGCATATGTGTGTGTGTGTGTATATATATATATATATATATGTATGTAGATACGTGCACACACACCTATATATCAGCATAATGTTTGCTGAGAACATTGGGACATTCTCTCCAATCACCTCTATGTGAGTTATAACATTTAATAGAAGGTAAGTACTGTCTGAGGAACTGTTATCTTGTACTCTTAGGGGCTAGGGAAAAGAGAAGGACATCTATATGTTCTCAGTACTGACAAATCTTTTTTCCAAATCTTTTTCAAAGAGTGTTGTTTGAACTTGTGGATGTAGAAATTTCAGACACAAGGGGTTAATTTTATGGTTGAGGACAGAGAGAAAGAGAGAGAGAGACAGAGACAGAGACAAGAGATTAATTGATTAAAATAGATTTATATTTATATCTATAAATTTACATTTAATGTTTATTATATTTAGTATATAATCTTATTTATGTATTTATATATTCAGATTTCGATTTGTATTCATAAATGTATCTGCATGAAAATCTATCCAGATACTTGAAATTATATAGGCATATAATTATATATATAATTTATTGGCCTAAGTGTAGTAGAAAATATAAAATAAGTAAAGGAAACACATAAATGGGATCTACTTATATTCCACCAAGCACCTAACTATATGCAATGGAGACTTGAATCCAGAATATCTTACATGACTACAATGGAAGGCCATCTTTCCTTGTTCCTTTCTGAATAACATGACTGTGAAAACTAACGAGGTATCCATCTCGTCTACCTCCCTGTGCTGCGCTAATTAACCTTGACTGCCTTGTCCTGAATTAAAAGTGGAGATGCTCACGGCACAGGGACATGGTAAATTTCCCCTCTGCCGAGGCAAACGTTGGAATCAGACACCCTGCGGTGTTTAAATGTTATGCAATACTGCTAGGAGGTTTGGGGGTGCCAGAGTCCCAACGCTTAGATTTTTAACAAGCATCAATTTGCACAGTGATTCTAGTTTTGGTCTTCTTTTTCTTTTACTTTTTTTTTCTCGACAAGGAGTGATTTCATAATGTGGTCTTAACAAAAAGCATATAGAGGGTCAGGGATTTAGCTCAGTGGTGCTTGCAAATGCAAGGTCCTGAGTTCAATCCCTGGCACTGAAAAAAAATTTTTTTTTTTTAAAAAGCATACAGACAGACTGGGAAAAAGATAAGAATATCAACCTTATGCATTTAGTCTAAGAAAAGCCACTGGGATGGCGTGAGGGAAGGAAGGAGGTGTAGACATACAGGACTAATGCTTGTCTGTGAGACAAAATTTATTTCTTCAATGAAGAAATGAGGAAACACAAGCCATCAAGTTTTTAAAGTAATGCTTTTTGTTTAGTTTCTTAGGGCTGCTGGAGAGGGCAGAAATTGCATGCTTTCAAAATGACCCAGTCATTCCCCTCCTAGGCATCTTCCCAAAAGTATTAAGGGCATCATCTTACAGTGATCCATGCACAAAAGTGTTTATAGCAGGACAGCTCATAATACTTGAACTTTGGAAGCAACCTCTATGTCCACCAGCAGACGAATGGATTTAGAAAATGTAGTATGTGCACACTATGGAGCACTACTCTGTAGTTAAGAAGGATGAACTTGAGTCATTTGTAGGAAATTGGATGCACCTTGAGACAGTAACATTCAGTCAAAACAATCAGGCACACAAGCTTCAATATCATGTGTTTTCCTGCATATGAGGAAACCAATGCACAAATGAACTGAAAAGCAAAATAAAAGGTAGATAATAGGCAGCCTGGAGATAGATCTTTTGGCAAAAGGAAGGGGGCCAAGAGCTGGAGGGACAGGAGGGGAAGAAGATGAAAAAAGAATTAAGATGCTTTATGTACATGCACCAACTCCACACGAGGGATACAATCAATATTACTGCACTCATGTGCTAATATAAAGAAAAAATTTAAAAAATGACTCAAAGTTACCATCTCACACAGCAGGAAGCTACCAGGCCTGCTCCCTCCTAAAAAGGGGGACTGAGCTCACTGTAGAGCTCTTGTAGGAACAGTTGCTTGCTTCTACTGAGCTCTATCTGGTTTCCTAGAGGAGAGATTTTCCATAGTTTAGAGCTGCATCCATCTCCACTATACCCCAACACCAAACAGCGGCCTTCTTGCTGTCCTCCACATTCTGACTTCTACACCTGCACCGGTCCTGTGGGTACAGAGCCCTCTTTACTCCATGACAAACTCCTCTTAACCACTTACATCTACCATGAGCCAGAATTCACCTAAGATCACCTTCTGAGGTAGTGGTTAAGAGTTCAGCATACCTTCTTAGTTGTTATTTTGTTTTTGAGGGTTTTGTTGTAGTCGTTGTTGCTGTTTGTTTTGTTGAAACAGGGTCTTGCTCTATACTTACGGCTGGTCTTGAACTCACTGTGTAGCCCAGCCTGGCCTTGGACTCATGGAGATCCACCATTCTCAGCCTCCCGAGTGCTGGAATGACAGCTTTGTGCACCAAACCTGGCAGGAGTTCAGCCTATCTTAATTTAAGGGGACTCCAAAGTGAATCCTCTATACTGTAGGAAGGCGGATCCTTGCCTGATTTTGCCATGGAACTAAGTCATGCTGTGTTTTCATTCTCTGGAAACAGGAAAGATTTACGTGATGGGTGCCCCACCTGCTGCTCTGGCCCGTTCTGGGTTCCCCACATGAGAATCCACCTCTAATATGAACTTCCTATATGTGTATCAACAGCGATCTACTTCCTGTATTAACAGCCATGTACTTCCTGTGTCAACAGCCATGTACTTCCTGTATCAACAACCACGCACCTCCTGTATCAATAGCCTATCCTAACTTTGTTTAAAACACATGCCTTTTGTGTGTGTGTGTGTGTCACATGTTTTGAAAATGAGCTTTATATGATTTACTGGAATGAGAAGCTAGACTCATACTTCATAGCTTTAATGTAACGACCACTAAAAAAAGAGTGGAATCCACATTCTCATTAGGTCTTTCTGATTGCTCAAGTTTCTGAGAATAAGAAGGAAAGGAAAAGGGATGGATGGATGGATGGATGGATGTAGGGAAGGAAAGGAAGAGAAGAGGGAGGGAGAGAAGGAAAGAGGAATAGAGGGAAGAAAAGGCGAGAATAGACAGCAATTCAATCAGAGTTCTCTTTGGAAGGAGGTGAATGAAAAGGTAACAATCTTTCTTCAAGTCATGAAGGTCAGTGGGAATCATTACACATCAATGACCTCAAGGACAGTTAAAATTCAGAGATGGGAAAGTCATACTTTAGGAGCAATACGAGCAGCATGTATTTGGCGTTATTTTTAACTTTGTTACGAGGAATATAATCTTGGCATTGTCAAGTGGTTTTTCTCTTTCGATAGCTTTTAAAGCCAGGTCTACATTTGGATTTGCTGGTATCTTCTGATTAATTTATATCGAACCCCAATGACATCTTTGGAAGCTGAACAGAAAAAAGGCTGACAGGGAAGTTCAAGCTAAATTTGCTTAATTTTTCTTACTCTATGTTTTCAGTACAGAGTGCTTACATTCTTCACGGGAAGTTGGTACATGTACATAACAGATTTTAATTCTTTTTGTTTCCCCCTCCTCTCCCTTCCCTCCTCAGTCGCCCTCCATTTCTGTGTCCCCCTTCCAGACGCAAGAGATGTAACTTCCTGTTTCCTATCATCTGTCTTTTATTTTGGTTTTTAAACTACTTATACTTTGGGTTCCTTGTCCAAGAGAGACCATGCTATATTTAAGCTGTATGTCTTGCACTTAACATTACGGTCTCAAGGTGCATCCATTTTCCTAGGAAAGCCTGAAAGTTATTCTAAACCAAATGACCTTCCAGTGCCACCCAATGCCTGGGATGAGGTATTGCATACCTTAGATCCTCATATATAATACCAGATAGTTATTTCCTACCTTGCTTTTAAGTGTTAGGGATTTTTTTATTGAATGAGGGATCTGATAGCCAAGTTCACTATTATTTTTAACAGAAATCACAGTAAGTATCTGTAACAAATGAATCAAACCGTAATTCTTAGAAATGTATTTGACCATGCTGTCGAGATTCTATCTTACATAAAATAGACCAGGTGCATGTGAAGTGCTGTAGAGTACAGAGGAAGCTCCGCATCGAGTCCCATTTAGGGGAAGACAAGGTTATGTCCATTTCTTTCCTCTCTTCATCATCATAATCTTTCATTCTGCTCAGGGGAACTAGAACACTTGGCACACTGAAATACAGTCTTGAAAATAAAAACAGCAAAAGCCCACTTATAGATACCACTGTCTTTGGAGTGTTTGCCAAGGAAGATGACTGGGGCCTTTTTCATAATCTCTGAGAGGTTATCTCGGTTTAAGAATTCTGACTGTGTATCTCTAAGAACATTAATAATAAACTGCATCAGGCTAATGCTGACTTTATCTGGATGCCCCAAACCCACCACTCTATTCTTGGAGAACAAAATAAATATGTTTCCTTGAAATATACACTGCATTCCTTCAAAAATCACCTATTAGCCAACATGCCCATGATATTCTCTCCTCCTCTGGGTTCTCAGTGATTAATGAAAGGTCTGTATCAATTAGCCCCAACTCGATAAAATTGGATCAATGGGGGGAAAAAAAACCAATGGGAATCCTTACCCTCTTTCTTTTTAAATATTTGTTACTGCTGCATGTTTGCAGTACATAGTAATTATAGTCACCATGGCGAGTTGGTGCATGTACATGACACATCTTCATTCCTTCTTCATCCCCTTCCCTTCCTCCTCCCTTTTCTCGCCATATCTTGACCCCCTTCAATTTGCAAAAGACCTGTCTCTGTTTTTCTCAGTTCTTTTTTCCATCCCCTTTTCCTCTCTCCCCTCCCACCTTCCTCTCTCCATTTCTTTTAAAACCATAAAAACAGATTAAAAGTTTTCCAAGCCATATTCCACTTAAAGAGAAAAAAAATGAAAACATACTCCAGAAAATAAATGAAAGACAAAAGAGGTATTATATTCGATCAATCATTTTCAAAAAACATGCAAGGCTACAACAGTGGTAAGTAAAAATCAGATATTTTATGTTAATATTTTAAATTAAATTTTATTGGTACATTTTAGATAGACACAATAATCACATTCATCATAGGGAATTTGTACCTGTACATCATATATCTGGATTGATTTAAATATATCAATATTTGTAACTAAATAGGAAAACTCATGATACGAAGGCCTATAACATTTCATGTGTGTGTGTGTGTACGTGTGTGTGTTTTCATTTTATTGGCAATGGTAAAATCATATCTATTAGTGTGTATGTAGTTTAACTGTATAGGTAAACTTTACTTGTCTTTATAAGATTTTACAACAAAGATAGGTTTATATATACAAAAAATACCTATATACAGTATATAGGATGGAATAAGTATGCAGTGAACACAAGGCACTTGTATACACGATACACAACATAAAATATATACACTGTATATATTGTTCAACTGAATATATAAAATAGTCTACTCGTATATGCTATATTCCACATTAAGTATACAGATGCTGAGTAATATGCTACAGCGAATAGAATACCTAGAACTCTTGTGTATATTGTGCACCCTGTGCAGTATACAGGTGGTTGCCAACATATATTGGTTTGATTTATGATGGTTCGATGTACTACTTTTAAAATTTATAGTGCTACACAACTAATATGTGTGCCATAGCAGATTTTGAATTTTGATAGTTTTTTCCTGGCCTGCCAGTATGTGATCAGTACTTTTCCAGGTATCCAGTAAGACACGGTATCCAGTTAAAATATTTTCAAATTAAGATATGTTTATCAGTTCACAACTGCATCATAAATCAAGGGCCATCTCTATATATACTGGCCAACGAATGCACCATGATTTTAAAGGCTTCCTTAGCATCTTTTACTTGTTCTACTTTATGGATCTGAAGATGGTAGATACTATTTCTTGTCTTTTTATTGCTGGCCACATACTTTAGTTTTTTTGTTTGTTTGTTTGTTTTGGTTTGTTGTTGTTGTTGTTGTTGTTTTGGACATTCTTCTCTATCCTCCAAGCCTCATATTTTAACCACAAACCTGATCAGTAAGGTAAAGCCAACTGAGGCTGGAACTTGCTCAAGATTTCATAGGTACAAAATAGAGACCTGCAAAGATGTAATCTCAGTACTCTGGGAGACTGAAGCAGGAGAATTGCAAGTTCCGACCCAGCCTAAGAGATTTAGTTACTTAGTGAAATCTTGTCTCAAAATAAAAATAATAATAATAAAATAAAAAGGACTATGTGTGTGGCTCAGCCTGAAGGCCCTGAACTCAATCCCCAGTACTGGGGGGTAAAAAGCATAGAATTTCAAAAAATTGTTTATTAAAGACAGATTGATTGATTGATTATTGATTGATTGATTGATTGAGTTTTTCACTGCATGGACAACCACATGGATTGACTGAATCTGTACAGTTCATGGTTACTGGTGAATCTTCGGTGAGGCCATGCTGTCTCCTGGTCTTTGACTGTGGAAGGAAATAGGAACGTCCCAAATCTCCTACCAGGAAGGGATGACTTTGAGTCCCGGTGTCACAGCACTGGCAACGATGGGAGGATTCGCGACTCCCACCGAGTTTAACTCTGCAGCTGAGTGTCAGATGGAGTTCTCTTTCCTCACTGGCATTGAATCATGCGTCATCTCAAAAATCCTGATGGCCAATAGAATATACTCTGTTTTACAGTTAACTTCACTGGCCCATGAATGGAAGACATGAGAATAGCCACCTGGCCAGAGTTGCTGCAAACTTGCTAAAATTTTTTATGTTTTGTGGGTTATCTCTAAATCTTGGTGATTCTCCTTTAGGCTGCCTTCGGTAGGGCAAAGCAATTAATGAGATAATTTTTTTGGCTCATAGCTGCTAAGCACACTTAGCACCCAGACTCATGTGCGCTATGGGGCATGGTGATTTTTGTAGCCTAAACATGATAATAACCTCACCATATCTAAAAGTACCATTTTACCAGACTTCTTATTTTTTGTGAAATGTTGCTTGATATTTTTTCTCGGACTTTAAAAGATGTTTGAATATGTGCTTAGTACCCTTTAAAACAGGAAGCAAAAAAGTTCGTGCATGTATTTACAATTTGTAATTATAAAGCTTATCTTCCTTCATTCCTTCCTATCTATCTATCTATCATCTACCTATCTTTCTATTATCTATCTTCCTTCTTCCTTCCATCTTTCCTTTCTTCCTTCCTTCTTTCTTTTCTTTCAGTTCTAGGGATTAAACCCTGGCTAAGAAGCATATTTCAAAGGATATGACATCCTGACAGTATTGCAAGAAGCATACGGTTTTCCTTTATCATTGCTGAAGATGAACTGGTGCATTTAAAAACGCTGAAAATGTACTGAGGATGCCACAATACTGCCCTTAGGATTTGCTTTTGTTGGAAGATAACTTTTTCAAGATTTTAAATTTTATTAGTACATGCTTGTAGGGCATAATGATTGCACATTTCAAGGGGAGTTGGTTCATGTACATTGCACATTTTAATTCTTACTTCCTCCTCCCATCATCTCTTGGTCCTTTTCCCATTTCTAAAAGACTTATGTCCTTATTTCTCATTATATGTATTTTATGTCATTCTTTTTTCATGTTTTGGGTTTCTCATATAATAGAAACTATGTGATATTTGGGCTTATTTGTCTGATTTATCTCACTCTGTATTGTGGTATCAAAAGGCCTCTGTTTTCCTACAAATGACTCATTTATGTTTGTTTATGGCAGAGTAGTACTCCATGCTGTATAAATACATTTTTTTTATCCATTCATCTGTTGATAGACATATAGCCTGCTTCAAATAGTTAACTATTATGAATCGTGCTGCTATAAACATAGTTAGGCATGAATCACTGTGAAATGATATCCTTAACTCTCTTGGGAACATACCTAGAAGGGGAATATCTTGTTGGAATGGGATTTCTATATTTAGTTATTTTAGGAATATCCATATTGGCATCGAAAGTGCATATACTACTTTACATTACTGGTAAGAGTGTGTAAGGGTTGTTTTCTACCCAAAGTCTCAGCAGTTTTTGTTATTGTAGGGTTTCTCTTTTCTTTCCTTTTGTTTTTTCGAGACAAGAGTCTCACAATGTTGTTCAGGCTGGAGTTGAACTCACTATGTAGTCCAGGCTGGCTTTGAACTCATGGTGATATTCCTGCCTCAGCTTCCCGAGTGCTGGGATCACAGGTGTGCAGTAGCACACGCAGCCCATTATTTTTCTTTTTGATGATGACCGTTCTTCCTGGAATATGAGGGAATCTCGGTGTTGTTGCAATTTGCCTTTCTCCAGTGGCCAGAGATGTTGGTTAGAAACACACAATAGGTCAGACTATAGGCAACAGTATATAGGTTACTCCTTTATACAATGATTTAGGTTTATATACTTCTACTCTGAATCAGATTTTCTTATAGTTAGTCTTAGTGGTATACTCATTTTGGACCATTGGACTAACTATGACCATATATGACTATATACATATATATTTGAGACATGTGTGATTCATGTATAGTATACGTGTATTTGTTCTTCACATGCACACATGTATACATACTTAGCCACATATCATACAATATTATGTGTTGAGGGGCATCTTTAATCAGTAAAATTAATTTCTGGAGTAAGAAGTACAAGCTGGCCTTTCGTTTTCTTGCAAGAGAAAATGTAGATGTGCCCATTCCTAAAAATGCAACAAGCTGAACGCAAGTTGTCTTGACTCTTAGGACTTTCAGAGTCTTGCCTGTCAGGTACGGCAGCATGTTGACCTTTGTTTCTGTCATTCTTCCCTCCCATCATCCACCCCTAGGGATCCCAACCAGCCCGTTCCCCAAGACACCAAGTTCATCCACACCAAACCCAACCGCTTCGAGGAGGTGGCCTGGTCTAAGTACAATCCCAAGGACCAGTTGTACCTGCACATCGGTCTGAAACCCAGAGTGCGTGATCATTACCGGGCCACCAAAGTGGCTTTCTGGCTCGAGCTGGTCCCCCACCTGCACAACCTGAACGAGATATTCCAGTACGTCTCCACCACCACGAAGGTGCCCCCGCCAGACATGACATCTTTTCCTTACGGCACTCGCCGTTCTCCGGCCAAGATCTGGCCCACCACCAAGCGCCCGGCCATCACCCCGGCCAACAACCCGAAGCAGGCCAAGGAGCCTCACAAGCCGGGGCCCGAGGACACCACTGTGCTCATCGAAACCAAGAGGGATTACTCCACCGAGCTGAGCGTCACCATCGCCGTGGGGGCCTCCCTGCTGTTCCTCAACATCTTGGCCTTCGCGGCCCTATACTACAAGAAGGACAAGAGGCGGCACGAGACGCACAGACGGCCCAGCCCTCAGAGGAACACCACCAATGACATCGCCCACATCCAGAACGAAGAGATCATGTCCCTGCAGATGAAGCAGCTGGAGCACGACCATGAGTGCGAGTCCCTGCAGGCCCACGACACCCTGCGGCTCGCCTGTCCCCCGGACTACACGCTCACGCTGCGCCGGTCTCCGGATGACATCCCGCTCATGACCCCCAACACCATCACCATGATCCCCAACACACTGACGGGCATGCAGCCGTTGCACACGTTCAACACCTTCAGCGGGGGACAAAACAGTACAAATTTACCGCACGGACACTCCACCACGAGGGTATAGTTTTGCGGTACCCTTCAGGTCCCTGCATCCTTCCCTCCACCTGCGCTGCCCCCTCCCGTCCGTCCGTCCTCCCTTCTGCAGACACGAGGAGGCGCAGAAAGACACATCTGCACCTCCATCAGGAGAGCTTTTCCTGCTCAGCACCTCACCGACAGAGGATGACAACTCCAGCCACAGGGACGGTCGGTCATCCGGACCCCCAGACCCTTGACCTAGACATTTCTCTGACCTGGGGGTTCCACTTCGCACCCTACGAAATGTGAAAAGCCGACATTTCTCTGACAGCACTGCTTTAAGGTTTCTCACCCCTCCCCCAAGACCTCTCCCCTCGACAGAACATCCCCGTCCAAGGATTCAGATCTTTCTGGCGTTAACGATGAGCAGTTCACACTTCTGGAACCCAGCCAGGGACATCTGATTTTTTTTTTTAATTTAACAAAAATTACAATTGAAAAAAAATAAGTTCTTTACGTGGCATACCATGGGTGGCTCAAAACAAGCAAAGAGAGTGTCTATGTGTTCTTTTTTTCACACAGCATACATCAAGAGTTGTAATCCAGAGAGAAGGAAAAAAAAGTAGAATTTTATTATTAAAATAAAAGACTTGACTATGCTGGAAAAAAAAAATCCTATCAGATTCTGTGCAAAGAGGTGTTTTGCCAGCCTGAACGATATTTAAGAAATCTTGTAAAAATAAAAAAAAAGAAATTGTATATAGTTGTGAGTTTAAACAACACACACACACACACACACACACACGGAGGGGGAACAAAAGAAAAAAAAAGCTTTCATTGATGTTTTCAGTTTGGAAGAGCTTTTAGCAAGGTTGTGATTTTTCATTGTGTTCTGAATGTATATAAATATAAATATATATATATATACATTAGTCAAACCACCTCTGTTTCCTCCCCAGCAAAAACAAGCAAACCCACAAAAAACAACACTCTGGTTCTTCATGCTTTGTGGTTAAAGAAAAAAAAGAAGGGATTTTTCGAGTTCTTTTCATTTGTGAGACGACGTGGCATCAGAAGGGAAAAACCCAGGCTGCCCTCCCGTCTGTCCGTCCATCCAGCTTGCCTGTGTCTCCTTTCCCAGGTGTGCAAAACGCACAAGACAGAAGCCTTCTTAGGGAGACTGTTGTGTTTATTATCCCCCTCCCCAAAACTTATTTTCTGGTGTGGTCAGCCTTCCTGAGATCACCATGCAAAATTGGTTCCCCTGAGTTGAGTGTTCATTAACGCATGTCAAATTCAGGGACACATGCGGGCAGCCAGCAAGGAGACAGAGAAAAACCCCAAACACAGCGTGATACAAGTCTCATTCTGTAATCCTGGCCTTTTGCATATATTTAGGAAGAGTTCCTTCCCATCCTAGGATGTTGCCAAAAGGGAAAGAAAGCTTGTCTTTAGAGGGCTTGTGCCTCTTGTGGTCAATACGGCTTTGTGTCCTACTACAGCTGCAGAGGCTGAGGGTTTGGGGTTACCTGCTTAGCGTGAATAATCAGCTCAGAGGGAGGAGATGTGCTTTTCATGGAAGCAGTGCAACCCTTCTGTATAAGCCAGCCCACCCCTAACCTCCCTATCATTTATGGGATAAAACATATGCTTGTGTGAAAATAATCGTTTTTTGCCGATTTGGGTAGCAATCACCATGGATGAACAACCTGGAAAAAAAGGAAAAAAAATTTCCCCAAACAAGACACGGTATCAGGAGTTCTTTGCACTGGTTCCCTGGATAATTCAGAGAGCTACACTGTCAAGGAAATCAATAGAAATTATTCACCCGCTTTGAATTAGCAATCCTCAGATTTCTACCGTGTAATGACTCATTGTTTTTTATTTCTATTATCATTTTTCCTCTAAGGGGTGTGTTGGGGGTTATAAGGTGGAACAAAACAGGAGAGTCAGTTTTCTTTTTGTCCTTTGAATATGACTGCATTACCAAGTAACAGTAGCCAAAGATGTTCGAACATAGCGTCAGAACTAGTTTGCATTTTAAGTGTTGTAGAAATCCAGACTTAGATGCTGTGGTCCAGGTAGGTATTCTGCATAAATGTGGTACAGCTGCTTCCATTTCCCCAAGATAACAGCTTTTCAATACTGAAATTTCCTGCCCTAAAAAGGTAGCGGTAGCTAAAAGTGTGTGACCTCTAGCCCCACCCCCGCAAAAAAAAAAAAAAAAAATTAAAAAGACTTCTTAGAAATGCAAAAAAAAAAAAAATCACTCAATCAATCCTGTTGCCTATGTGGGTTTCATCTCAAGAGTTCTTCTCTGTATATATAAACATGTGACATGTAACGCCCCCGACTTAGGACGCGTGAAGAATCAAGAGTCCTTCCTTGACGACGCGATGTCACGGATCTAAAGTGTTGTCTCCAATTCATCATTTTCTTCTAAAGCGATTTTCCAAGCCATTTCCTGCAAGCTATGTTTCGTCCTCGGAAGCTGAGAACAGACAGGAGACACACGAAGGGACTGGATAATTGTCCCATCGCCGCTGGTTCTGTATATTTGTAACGTGAATTCCAGTGTGGGTTTCGTCTTCTGCTAGCAATATGTACCCTCATGCGTCCGTCAGCCTCGTGACATTTCAATGAGGACACGGAGTTCATGTTTAGTGAATAATTTTAGCTTTTACAGAGGATTATGATCAAAAGCAATTTAATACATCGTAAAGGATATCTTATTTCTACAAGGAAAGAGGTTATAGAATCTTCATAGAGTTCTATGAGAAAAAAATACACTTGCTATCTATAAAAAAGAGAAAAAAGAAAAAAAGGAGAAAAAAGAAAAAAAAGTACTTTCTTAGGCTTTTATTCTAGATCTTAAAAGGCACGCAGGGTTTAATGGTTTGTTGGGTTATTATTTAGCAATTTTGTTTTTTGATTTTGCCTTAAGTAATGATAGAAGATATATATGGCTGGACACATATGTATAAACTTTTCAGCAGCATTTTTAATAATAAAATATCACAGTATTTTCTAATGCTTTGTGCAAATAATTATGTCTCCATTCTTTCTTTGTAGGAGATGGATCTTGTTTGGTGATTGATTGATTGATTGATTGATTGACTGATTTTGTCTTCATGGTATGCTTCCTCTCTGGCAAAGAGCAACTATAAATGTATGAGCTCAAGTGGGGAAAAAAAATGAGTGACTTCGTTTGGCTCAGTGCACAGTATCTTTCTCTACTTTTGAGGTAGCTCCCCTGGCCTTCATTTCGCCGGCCGGGTCCCATGTGTGAGAGAAGGTTTGCATTCATTCCTAACTCCACTGCCCGTTCTGACAAGGCTTTGAGTCCTGTTTGACATGCAAGTGTTCTAAGCTGTCCCGCGGAAAGCAGGCTGTGAGCACATCTTCGAGGGACACCAAGCAGTGCCTCTGACCTCACAGGGGGTAAAAAACACTGCCCTACCATGGGCACGTCCATTCTTGAGTCCTCTTCGGGGTCCAGCCACCCACATCTCACTTGACAGTCAGAGTAGCAGATCCTGGCCACCTCGCATTTGACCAAGGAGGATGTGGACGGCTGGACGCCTGAAGCCAGGAGGGAGGAGACTCTAAACCATGTAGGACCTCTCAGAGCACTGTCTGCCACAGGAGTGTGTGCAGTCGAGCTTTGCAAGTCATGTGCTCGGAGGTGAAATCCCCAGCCATGGATCCATCTGAGAAAGAAAAGAAGGGTTGTGTTGCTGTGCTCTATTTCACCTCTTTATGAGGAGAGTGATGGGGGAAAAGGTGTGTATGTTTGTGTGCATGTGCCAACACATATGTGTCTACACGGTGTACAAACAGGCACTGTAGGCGCACATACTATCACACACACACACACACACACACACACACACCCCATACATATGCATTCTATATATATGAGGTATGTATACAAACATGGATGTACATATATACACATATACCATAGGTGTGCCTTCTGTCATAGATCGACACCATCTATACATAATGTATGTGTGTATACATGTAGATATATACATAAAATATATACACTGGACCCTTGACTTAGGAACTCAATCTGTTCCCGAGGGCTGGTTTTAACTCAGGTTGGTCAGTGGAGGCTCAGCCCCTCCACACAGCCTTCAGAGTCTTCCTCCTGTACACAGGAAGAGCTCATTGTCCTTAGACACTGGCCCAGGATTTCTCAGTGAGCCCCACGTGGGATAGGACGCTGTCCTGTTCCTTCCAGAGCTCTTTAGGTTTCAATTGGTATCTGAGACCATCTGGAAGGACGAGCAGCTGGCATTCAGGTCATAGCTCAAGACTCTGGTCAAAAGTTAAAAGTAGAATTCCATTCGTACCCCTGTTGTTCTATATCAGGCCAGTCATAACTTGAGGATCCACCGTATTTGGTATATCAAATGTATTGCATAACTGCTATGAAGACCCCTGTTATGTTAGCATCTCTACAGATATTTCATGAGACACTAACTCAATGTGATCTCATCAAAAATGATCTCTCAGTAAGGTGAAATGTATGTACAAGAGGGTCCACTGTATACACATACACTTCACACATAGGCAGATATGTATATAGTTTAAATTTCCAAGCCTAGCATTTTTATTAAATATATATCCACACATGCAAATGAATACATATATGAGCTATATGAGCGTATATATGTGTGTGGGTGTTTATGAATGCATAAATATGGATGTCTGTTTGTGTGCCTGCACAGGGTAAATGTATTATGTATAAAAATATATATTCATGTTTCATACACAAGCATATATTTGTGGAAATTTATGCACTTGATATCCTTGATGGTTGCACTTCTAAGAATTAGAACACATGTATAAATACACACCATGTGTGTGTGCACAGATATATATGTTCTTTAACTTTCTCAAATATCATTCTCACTAAGTGTATAAACACATGGAGGAATACAGATACATATATAAATATAAATATACTACATACATCTGTGTGTGTATGTTGTGTGTTTATATAATATACAAGTATACACATTCTGGTGTGTGCACATGTGTGTATATATCATACACAAATGCATATCTACTAGATCCTTGTGCACTTTATATCTATTTATTGTATTTCCCATTAAATATGTACGTGCATGCAGTTATGCATACATATATATCCATCTGCCTCTATATACATATTCACATAAATATACACGGAAACATGTAATAGAAATACCATCTGGAAGGATTCAAATCTAACCTTTTTAGTACACATTAGCTGAGAGAGTCTCTCATTTTCACCACTTTACACACTTTTAGCCTTCATGCATGTGAAAATAGATGCATTCATTCGTGCATTCAGCAGACTTTTAGAATATGTGCGCCACACCCTGGCCTGCATTCTGTCGCTGATAAAAATGACAGCAAGACAGGTATGGTGGTGCACTCCTGTAATTCCAACAACTCAGAAGAATGAGGCAAGAGAATCACCTGTTCGAGCCCAGCCTGGGCAATTTGGCAAGACCCTGTCTCAAAATGAAACACAAAAAGTGTTGGGTGTGTAACTGAGTGGTAGAGCACTTGCCTAGCATGCCTGAGGCTGGGGTTCCATCCCCAATACTGCAAAATGGAAAAAAACAGAAAGACGGATAAAGTTCCTCTAATCCCTGAACTCGGGGTAGGCGGGGAAGCCCAGGGCTCGTGAACGGCAGTGGGTGCTGGACAGAGTACCCTCCTTGGTAAAGGAAGACTAGTCCTAGCCCCTTTCTCCTGTCCCTGAAGGTTGGGGAGTCATTTCCAAGGAGTTCCTCTGTACCCCAGGTCTCTGGAAGTCCGTAGGGGAAACACGGAAACAAGCGGTGGTTGGAGGAGACGAAATTCTACACCTTCAAAGGGAGAGGACCTAGAAGGTTGGGCAACAGTGCCCGGTTCATCAATGATGAGAAATAACAGAGGTGGTTTGCAAGGTGAGAAGAATAACACTAAGCGTAGCCAGCAGATAGAAGACATGGAGTTCGTGCTCTGGCCAGGGGTAAACTGGGAAACCCCAAGCGGAATCACAGAGTGACCAGGCCATCTTTGCATGCCTGGAGCTACTTCCCAAGCAGGGCCACTCAAGGGAAGGGTACAGCTGGATCAAGGTTGGATCCCCATCCAGGCGAGGGTAGGGGGACCCCTGTCTCCCTCACAAAGGCTCACCCCGCAGCAGATGTATGATTTTGATTATTTCCCCACTCTTTTGAGAGCTGTGCATGGGAGAAGTTAAGAGGATGATTTGAAACAGGATGAGGGAGATTTTAAGACATTAAAGAGGCAGTGGGAGGAATCAGTGGGAAGTTCAACATTGGAGTCATTTCGGGGATGGTGGAGATAGGGACTAGAGGTGCATCCAGGAGCAGCGAAAAAACATTTCCACAAGGTGTGCTGGTGCGTGGCTGTAATGGCTGTAATCCCGGCACTTGGGAGGTTGAGGCAGGAGGATGGCAAGTTAGAGAAAAAGGAAGGAAGGAAAAGAGAAAAAAGAGGAAGGAAGAGAGAGAAGGAAGGAAGGAAGGTGGGAAGGAAGGAAGGCAGGCAGGAAGGAAGGAAGGAAGGAAAGAGAAAGAAAGAAGGAAAGAAAGAAAGGAAGGAAGGAGAGAAAGGGAGGAAGGGAGGGGAGAGAAAGAACGAAGGAAAGAAAACTTTGTACCCTGTTATAACTACATTTCCAGAGCAGCTACAGCACAGCGCCAAACGTTAACCTGGAATCACTGGGGTGGTGATAACATTCACCTCAAAGTTAGGTGTGCAAAGTGAACAGTACCCTCGTCTTCAGTGGAGCAACAGGGAGCGGGCTGCCTTTTGGTGCACTTTTCATAGACACAGGAAGCTTTCTATTTGGTGTCTGCCCACGGAGACTGAGGGCTGCCCCCATGCAGCACTGTCCTGGGGGGTCCTCTCTACATGCACCCATGTATGCTGGCACTAGTTACCAAGCTGGCCAAATGGCAGGGTTATTGTTTCTCTCCTTTCTCAGAACTCCTTTGAGTTGTCCATTTCATCTCTCTTCTTCCCGTTTAAAAAAAACAACCTAGGTCGTGGAGAGAAGATAAAAGTGGAAATCTCTCCTCAGGGATTCTCACGCTTGTCTTCAAAGAAGCAGAAATGGATGGAGGAGAGAGCAGGGCGGGGAAGGGGAGGGTGGCAGGAAGCACGGGGAAGGGGCGGTTTGTGCGAGCACCAGCTCCCCAGAATGAACCAGTGGACGGTGCATGAGAACTGCGCACAAATATAAAAACTTTAAACACAAAGAGGTGGACAGAGAAGGAAAGATCCATCTGCAGGGTGCCATGCTATATAATGTGACCCTCCACACCCACACTCTGGAGAGCCCACCGAGACTTCATAGCCTGTGGCTGGGACAGGGTGAGGGCACACGGGCAAGAATCGCTTGGGAATGACATCAATCACAAACAGCCATGGCCGAAAAGAAAATATCACCCATCTCTTCTTCCGAATCTTAGACACAGCACCTTGGACTTTTGCAGTATAAGTAGATAGTGAGATAGATTTCTGGTACCCCAGTACAAGATCCTAAAACTTCCCCATAAGAACTACAATTTGGGACCACCCCTAATTACAAATATTAGAAGCTCTATGATGCTTCCATTGTAAAATCGGCCAACTCGATTTTCCATATCCTCGGGGGTTAACATTACATCCATTACACACTTGAATTTCCCGTGGTAATACGTATCATGTATGAACATAGAGTGCACACAAATCGTCACTGGGTTTTCTTCTTACTTCAAGTACAGTGCACCCTTGACTTACGAACTCTATCGAT